CATATTCTCTTTCACGGTTTTAATTTATATATAAAAATTTATAAACTTTTCTTTTTAACTTTTTAAAATTTTATCTTTTCTTATTTCACTTTTATTACATAAGAATTGCATTTTGTTTTTCTTTAGTTTTATTTCTTTTAATAAGGAGTTAAAAACCAAAAGATAAAAAGTTAAAAATAACTAAAATATCTTACAATATTAAAAAAAAACAAATTATTATTTTTTTATTTACTTTTAACTAATTAATTATTTTAATATTTATTACGATTTATGTTGATTTGATTAGAAAAAAAGGAATATATATATATATATATATATATATATATATATATAGTTAATAATGTTTAAAATGTTATTAAACAATCTATACAATGAATTTTTAATTATAAAATTAGACATAAAAAATTTATATTAATATAAATAATTAACATGAGATAAAAGAGAAATGTTTAGTTAACCGCGTTGATTTTGACTTAATCAATTACATCCAGATAGAAAATGAGATAAGAAAATAATTTAAAGAAAATAAACATAAATTTAAGATAAATGAATATCAACAATTTTAAAATCTTTAAGTTCTTAAACTATAATTTTTAAAATAAATTATTCTCTAAAATATTCTAAGGTGAAGACTTTTACAGTCCACATGTGTGATTAGGTTAAAAGTTTTCCTTTAACAAGCTGTGATTTTCTCTTAATTGTTTTGTGGCCTCTAACTCAAATATTTTCTTATATTTATTATCTCTTCTATTCAATAGTTATTTCTTGCTTCACTTTTAAGTTAAAAGTGGTATTTTAAACTACATAATATTTTCATGACTCATTACCTTATCATATCTGACCCATCATGTCTCGATCACATAACAAGACTAATTATTTCACCACTAAACAAACTATATACATACAACCAAATTCCAACTCTAAATATGTAAGTAGAAATGATTGAAAATCACTTTGAGCTCATATGTCTTTTGATTTATTAGAAGGGTGATGATTATTTCACAATATAAACAATTAATTGAGAGCTTAAATTAAATTTATTTTGAACCTAAATTATTTAGGTTATAATATTATATTTTTGTAATTCAAAATCAATTAATAGAAGGTAAAACTATTCACTTGGTGAGCCAATCACAAATATTCACTAATAAATTTGAGGTGAAATAATATATAATTAATTAATAATAATAAAATAATATAAAATATTCTTTTAGCTTAATATGTTTAATAATTTATTTTTATATTCATAAAAATAAAATATAAATTATAAATATAAAATAATATATTTAATAATTATTAAATTTGTGGAACCAAATATATATATATATATATATATATATATATATATATATATATATATATAACAAAATTTTAGGAATCATACACTCGCATCCCGATAAATTGTGTTCCTGCGGTGAACTAGGGTACAACTATTTCATAATAGGTCTAAGCCCTAATTTGCCAAACAAACTCAGTACAAGACTACTACATTCTACATATCCATAAGAGAACCAAAACAAATTCATCAACTAAAACTTTACGAGTGAAAATAAACCAAACTACTGCCAAATTCAACCAAATGTTGCATACTGTTTGGAATAGAATGAAAAACAAAAAAGGTACTTTAAGTGTATAAGAATGTAATATTTCAACCTAATGTAAATTCAATTTAATGAATTACTTCATGATGAAACTCTATGAAATATTAGGTTTGTTTTTGCTTACATCTTTAATTTGTATATTTGGTTGTTGTGGAATCTAAGTACAGGAGCATCAAGTGGTATTGGTGCTGAAACTGCTCGTGTTCTTGCTTTGCGTGGTGTGCATGTGATTATGGGGGTGATAGATATGATTGGTGCAAATAATGTTAAGGAAGCAATTCTTAATCAGATTCCCACTGCTAAAGTTGATATCATGGAGTTGGATCTTAGTTCAATGGAATCTGTTAGAAATTTTGCAGCAAACTTCCATTCATCTGGTCTTCCATTGAATATTTTGATGTAAGAATACAACATTAGCTACATTCTCAAACTTTTTCATTTGTGTGTTCAATATATATAATTATTCAAATATCTCTTCACGCACACATCTTAATTATGTCCATTCATGAAAATAGTTTAGCAGTAATTTTTTTTAACTTCCCTTCTCTTCTTTTTTTTTGCATTTCAAAGAAACAATGCAGGTATTTGTGCGACCCCTTTCATGCTCTCCAAGGATAACATTGAGCTTCAATTTGCTGTAAATTATTTAGGTATTTTAAATTTATCTAATTTTATTACATGAATCTTTTCATGATAGTCTTTTGACTCATAACATATTTTCTCTTTATTCTTAATAGAATCAACTTTAATTATGTTAGGATATAAAAAAAAATTATAGTTAAAAAAAAGAAATATTAACTAGAAATTAGATAATATTATATTATATATATAAAGTATGATTTTTATTTTATTGAGTTAATTTTGTAAATCATCTTAAAATTCTTTTATAGTTATTAGACATAAAATATGAAATTAATGTCTTGTATTTTTCAGATTGAGAAAATGTGAATCGTTGAATATAATTCCACAGGTCATTTTCTTTTAACAAATGATTTGTTGGATAATATGAAGAGAACAACGCGAGAAAGTAAGATTGAAGGAAGAATCGTTAATGTCTCCTCAGGTGGTCATCTATTAACATATCGTGAAGGGATCCTTTTTGACAAAATTAATGATCCATCAAGGTATGAAGGTTTTATTATTTTTTATTAAAATATTATTAATATTTAATATTTTTATTATATTTTTACTCAAAAATTTAGCATATTATGAGTGTTTTTCATAATTAATTTTATTTCTTATGTACAGTTACAATAATTGGCGTGCTTATGGGCAATCAAAGCTTGCTAACATTTTACATGCCAATGAACTTGCAAGACGTCTCAAGGTTATACCTTTAGTAAAGTTTACATTTTTCGATTGATTAATAACACTTTATTTTCAATTTTAAAAAATTGCATAAGAAATAACAATAAAGGAAAATACATAACAATTAAAATTTGTCTTTTTTTTCCTTGTTTCTTATGTAGTTTTTTAAAAATCAAGAAATATACATTAAATAATTATTTGTGATATTCACCTAACACTTGTTCAACACTGCAATTAACCAGGAAGATGGAATTGATATTACAGCCAATTCTGTTCATCCAGGAGCTGTTATCACAAATATTTATCTTCAAAATCGTTTTCTGATAGGTAATAAATATATTTATATAAAATTATAAATAATTAAATTATATGATGAATATTTTTGAAGACACTAACCTTTTAAATGGAACATGTAAAAACATATCACACCATCTTTAATTCAAAATTTTTCTTGCTTACAGAACTAAATACGGAAACGTTATCTTATAATCAATCTTCTACATTAAACTATCTTCTAAAAGTTTCAATGCATAGGTTTAATGTTATAATCTTTTGTTTTGTACATCATCAATATTGCTCAATAATTGAGTTCAATTCATTTGTTGTTCTATAAAAATAAATTTCAAACTTAGTAAATAGAACTATTCAAGTGTTTTTTTTTTCAATATATATATGTTGAATTTTATAGCCGGTATCTTTGTATGGTTTATGCAGGTCTAAAGAATATACTAGGTTCATTTGTAATTGGTATGCTAGAGCGATTTGTGTTGAAAAATGTGCACCAAGTAAGTTAAATCACTATATAAATAATCCATGAATATATCTTTTTGAAGTTCCACATTTTAAAAATTTTATCTTTATAAAAAAATTAATTATTTTCTACATTTAAATAAAAAGAATATAGTTTTTGTATCTTACTATCTGTGATATGGTTCTTATCTTTGATTTTACACAACATGAACATAGGGAGCATCAACAACATGTTATGTAGCATTGCACCCACAAGTGAGTGGAATGAATGGAAGGTATTTTGTTGATAATAATGTTGCAGAACCATCTTCACTGGGAAGAGACAGGAATTTGGCCAAGAAGCTGTGGGATTTCAGCATAAAATTGACTAAGCAAGATACATAGTGACAATGGTGAATTAGAAGGAATAGCTTTTTGGTAATACAAATCTCTGTGATGTAGAACTGTTAATATATATGTTGTCACCATTTTTAAAGTCATCTTCTTCAAGCTTAAAGTTTAATGGCTTTGGTGTATAAGGCTGGAATTTACACCAATTACATGTATTTAAATATTATTATTGCAAAGCCCTTGTTCACATTGAAAATATTGTCAATTATATATATATATAATTTGAAAACAATTAGGAAAAATTTGTGATGAGTCACGCTACCCCATGTTTTATGGAGAAATAAATTTTTATAAGTTTAATAATAATAATAATAATTTATATTATATATAATGATGATTTTTTTTAATGGTTAGTTTATAATTATTTTTATAATATATTTTGTCTAAGAAAAGAGAGATAATATAAGAAAATTAAGTATGCGCTTGGAGAAAAATGAGAGAGAATAAAAATCTTAGAAGAGTGAAAAAAATATCTATAACACATATAAGAGTGAAGAAAAAAATGTTATAAATATATATATATATATATATATATTTATTTATTTATTAAAAAAGTAATAATAAAATTTAAAAAATTAATAATATAACAAATAAAAAATAGCTGCTGTATTTTCTATAACAATAATATTATTAGTAATAATAAAACGTGTACAAGATTTTCTATAACAAACCTGTAAAATCTCATTTGAGCACGTTATATTTTCTTTTAAAAATAGTATTTAAATACATACATACATATATATATATATATATATATATATATATATATATATATATAAATAGTATAATAATTTAGAAAATTTTCAACCACGTTTGTTTTGTTCTTGTACGTGTCAAAATAAATCAAGTGAACAAGATTTTGCGAAGTAGGAATTTGAAGTGAGAAATTAAAGTGAAACGCAGCACAGTGCGATTGTGTGAGCTTCACTTCGGACAAGGATAAGAGAAAAAATGTGGTGGCTGGGAAGGACAGGACCTTCTGGATTTTCAGCTTCTTCTACTGCTCAGGAAGTTACTCAGGGAATCGATGCCACTGGCCTCACTGCCATTGTTACAGGTTAATTGTGAATGGAAATGGGTTTCCTTTATTTGTTTTGTTCTTCCTTAGTTTACTCATAATTGATGTTCTTCTGAGATTGAAACTTACCGTTTTAAAAATTTAAACTTTTTTTCATTGGGTATTGGTTTTCAACCTGTCCTCAATATGTTTTCATACTTCAACCTTTTAGGTTGGGAGTTTTTGTTTTGTTGGAATGAGACAGAGAGGAAGAAGATGATCAAAATGCTATAGGATTATTCTCGATGGTTATTGAAGAAGACTTCACAGTTTTTGGCATTGTGTATGCTTAATGAAGTTTGAATCTGTATCTTGATCATTATTGAACAAAACGTCACTCTTTTTGTCTTGATGATTATGCTTGAGACATGCTTGCATTGTTTTGCTTGTATCCAATGAGCGTTTGAGGATTATGCTATTATGTCTTGTCAACAAGGTTTAAAATTGCGGTCGCAGTGGTAGTTTTGCCAGAATCCTTGATATTGTGAAAAATTGTGAATAAATGCGGTTGATGTGGTCATAAAATTGTAGTCGTGACCAAAACCCAGAAACCTTGATGTTGCGGCTGCAATTGTGGTTGTGGATAAGGAGGAAAAAATTATTGTATTTTTATCTATTTCTATTATTATGGTTGCTTTTGCCTGTAATATATTTATGTATGAGTGGCTGTGTCAAGTATGTTGTTGTAGATTTGGGAAATACATGGTGGAGTTAATTCATCATCATGGTGCTCAATTTGTTTATGGTAATGTTTGACTTTTTCTGTGTTGTTTGACGCTTGTGACTTGTCTTCATTGTGTGATCCATGTTGTTACAGGGGCAACTAGTGGTATTGGTGTTGAAACTGCACGGGTGCTTGCATTACGCGGTGTCCATGTTGTCATGGGGATCAGAAATATGGCAGCTGGTAGGGAGATCAAGGAAAATATGCTAAGAGATAACTCAACTGCAAAAGTTGACATGATGGAGCTGAACCTTAGCTCACTGGAATCAGTTAGGAAATTTGCATCTCAATTCAAGTCTTGCGGTCTTCCTCTTAATATACTCGTGTATGTTACTACTGTCATATGTACTTTTCGAATGGAAGTTTTGGTGTTCTCTGTGACTTTTATCGTTTATCAAAATGCTGTTTGCTTGAAGAATGCTAGATGGTAAGTTTCAACTTAAGCTGTGGTATACACTGAAAATTATTTGTTTCTGTTCAAAGTAATAATGCAGGAATCATGGCAACACCATTCAAGCTTTCCAAAGACAATATAGAATTACAATTTGCAACAAACCATATAGGTTAGAAATTCATCTTGAACTGTCCAAAGACAATACACACAAATATGGAATTTGATAAATCATTGATTGGGCTTAGAACAATAATTGTTTCAAATTGTTATGTAAAAAGACACCGAGTATACTTCCATATCACGATTTCATAATTTAAAATTTATGAATTTGTTAATTCTAATTTCTATCAATTTTTTTTCTTTTTTTATTTTTACCTGGAATTAGTTATTTATAGTATAGTATTGAGTTGTATGCAGGAATATTTTACCTTAAAAGGGATTTTGAGATGAGCGTCCCTCCTTGCAGGTCATTTCCTTTTGACAAACTTATTGCTTGAAACAATGAAACAGACTGCTATCGAACAAAGGAAGGAGGGAAGGATCGTGAATGTCTCATCAAGACGTCATAAATTATCATATCCTGAAGGGATTAGATTTGATAAAATTAATGATGAATCAGGGTAACAATATGTTTATGGCATAAAGTTTAGCACTATTGACAGTTTTTAGCTTAATGTCTTCCTCTCAGCCCACCCCCTCTTCGTTGGTAATTACTAATTCTGAAACTAATGATATGCTGGGATAGAGGGGGTTTGGAGGGAAAGGGGGGTTAATTTTTCATCTCTAAATTTGTTTATGAAAATAAATAAAGTTTAATATAAGGGTGCATAGTGATATCTATTTTTAAAATGTTCAAATAATAAAATATTAAGTAAATTGAATTGAAAAACCAGTTATTCATTTGCTTTCCCTCCATCCAAGCATATATATTAAGTGGATGATATTTTCATTTTCTTATCAATGTACAGGTATAACAGTTTGTCTGCCTATGGGCAGTCAAAGCTTGCTAATGTTTTGCACGCCAATGAGCTTGCCAGACGGCTAAAGGTGACTAACATAGTTGAGATTACTGATTATGTATTATATCTGCTAGTAGTCTGTTTTTGTATGTATTGTTCAGTTTATTTTCCCAGCAAAATAAAGAAACATGAGAGGAGGGAGGCAGGGGAGTGAAGGGACTAGCTTATCAAGAAAATGGTTGTGGAGATGGACTACTGAAACCAACAGTTTGTAAGAAGCAATTTGTACATATAAAAAGAGTTAAGGAGTGGTTAAACTGGAGTTGGGGACTGTAAGATAATTTCCTGAGCGTATTTGTTGATAGACAAGTTACCTATGGAAAATGAAAACTCTTATTTCGTATCACTCTGATATTAATGATCATTAAGAGTGCCACATTTTATGAGGTAGGTGTCAATCTCTTCTAAATGTGCTAGGATTGTGGTAATTTCAAGGGTAATGAGGCTACTATGATGGAAGGTTGAGTTCAGCTTGAAAAGGTTCTTTCTGGCGCACTCAAACTCGTTATGCAGTGCATTTTTTATTTAGATAGCATCTGTAAAATTTATTGCTGTATATAGGGAGAGACAACAATGTTGTAATTTGTGAGCTTTTTTGTCTTAGTCCATTACAAGTTAGAATTACTCTCCTCTTTGGCATTCATGTTTGTTAAAAGTTGGGCTATGCAACATATAAGACCTTAGCCTATAGAAGTGGGTGTTTTTCCCCTGGCTGTTATGTTGCTTGGACCTCCCAAGGTAGTGATGATATGGTTGGTCTGTACTCTTTTACTTTACTTTTTTAAAACTGGCTTGATTTTAGAGCAAATTAAGAGGATTTCCTGGATACTTCTTATGCTAGAAGACCATTTACCTTCTTTTGGTTAGGCAACATTTTTCTTCTTGACATTCTATTTTTGGCAAGACCGTTTTGTGACTTTGTTTTAGTGTAAAGACTTTTAGTGATTTTCTTACTGTTGTACATCAGTTAAGTGGTAAATGGGGATGTGAGTGTGAACCTTGGCATATCAATAAGATTACTCCTTTATGACCTGGTAGCCTGGATTCTAGTCACAGAAGTAGCCTCTATGCTTATAGGAGCAAGTTTGTAAATTCAACACTCCCCAAACATAAAAAATGGAGGGTTGTGCACTAGACAACCTCTGTGGGTGAGGCTGCAGCCTTAATGGCTTGACATTTATTTCTCTTTACATTCTACTTTTCTGATTTTGATTTGACATGTAAAATGACCTCATGTGATTTAGCATAAGGCTCAATGTGGCTTTTAATTTTAGTTTTTGCATGATATAACTGCCAGTGTGCCCCGTAAATTGCTTGTTTCATGATACATATATGGATGATTTTGTGGGATATCTGATATGGTGTGCGTGGTAAATAAGAAGTTTGGTGCCTTATGTCAAATCCCTGAATAAGAGTTAGCTATCTTCATAGGGCAAGATGTCATAAACTAAATAAGATGTGCCGATAGTTTACTCAGATATCAAATAATTTTTATATATCCATGAACATATTAGTTAAGATAAGCCTTGAATCATATTCATATACTGCTAGCATTTACCACATCTCTGAGGTTTTTCCAAATCACAAGTTGCACTTGTTTATGTTATTTCAAAAACCATTTTCCCATTTCTGAAAATATCATCAATTATAAAAAGGGTTAAAGCAACATAACACAGAACAGTCATCTTGCTAGTTGATGTTTACTTGTAGCAGACGGAGGGCATAAAGATAACTGCAAACTCAATTAGCCCAGGACCAATTGCAACCAATCTATTTCGTTATCACAGTTTAATGGATGGTAATTCCTTTTTTCTTTGGTGTTTTATTTTATTTTATTTTTAAAAATATATTTGAACGTGAAAAACCACATCTACAATTATACAGGTTTATGATACATTCTTGGCCCCCATGCATGACACTATTCACTAGTTTATATTTATTTATCATGCCTCTATCTTAAATATATGCCATATATGATGGTGTTTCCTGTTTTCTTCTTTGGATCTGAAGATATGCATGCTTGTAGTTGTTTAGCTTGCTATACTGACAGGTTACTCTTAATTTTATGCAGTGTTTGTTGGTCTACTTGGTAAATATGTGATGAAAAATATTCAGCAGGTAAAGTTATTACTTATTTGAAACACAGCAACAATAGAGCATAAATAGTAAAGAAGAAAGGATGGCGAGAGATTTGAATGTATTGTACAAACAAATTTATGTTTCTATGTTATGCTAGGTTTACACCATCATAAAACTAACCACGGATGTTAAAACAAAAAGAAAATAACCCAGAGACCAAAAAGTTGATGCAAGTATTGGAACCAAATGATTAAGTTTTTTAAATTTATTTTTAGTGATCATATGGATAAAATTTATCAAAAACATTTTTTTTTAACTTATTTCAACTAGCCTTATGATCAAATTGATAACTTAAATTCTCATGCAATAAGAATATTTTAAATAAGCATTTAATTAAGCTATCAACTCATACACACCTAATATATATAGTTTTTTACTTTGAACACAGGGAGCAGCAACCACATGTTACGTTGCATTGCATCCACAGGTGAAAGGGTTGACTGGTCATTACTTTGCGGATAGTAACTTGGCTGAAGCAAGTTCACAAGCAGTTGATCCAGAGCTGGCAAAGAAACTGTGGGAATATAGCTCAAATTTGGTCAAATCTTGATATTCTGTTACCTAACAATTAGGGATTAATGTATAGTGATAAGTATGGACATAAGAATGGTCAATTAAAATCACTACTAGACTTTTCAATTGTACAGTACCTCATTACTGAGGAATATATAACAGAATAAACTTATTCAAAAAACTTCATAAAAAATGAAAAGAAAAAAAAAGATATAATTAACTTATGTGTAAATTAATTTATAAAAAAATTTATTTGACTTGTATAAATTGAATTTAGTTTATGAAAAACGTATTTGTCATTTTTCTCCTCACCCGTTTCTTAAAAGAGTTTATGTAGTTTTATTCTTAATTTACAAACACAAACTGAGAGATACTCGTAATCTGATTTGGTCTCCAAATAAACTGCATTTCATGTAGATTACCTAAGTTATATATAGATTTGATTGTGATTTTTGTGTGTTTATTGTATTTTTTCTGTGATTAAGACAGAATATCTTCCAAATAGGATGTGGATAATCTCACCACATGACAGTCAAAAGAGAGAGCAAGAAGCATCACATGATGACTACATTTAATTAGACATTTAACTTCCTCTACTGGTTTTTTTTATCCTTATGAATTAAGCATGTTACATGGTTCAACATTCACATGTTAGATAATTTACAATCATTCAAGCACACTGTCGAACCAAGGTTAAAACCAGGTATCTGATATTATGCTCCAATTTTAATTAACAAATGATTTGTGCCATGCTCAAGATCAATTAATTGAATTGACACAAGATAACATGGCTTGAAAGTAACGCGATATTTGTGATGACCCATTTGAGGATTAAACAAATAATGCAATATGTTGTCTGTCATACGTGGGATTTGACTGATCACAGTATTGCTGAACATATTCTTGTGCTTAATAAGCTTCACATCACCCTTTTTCACAAGTCTTAAAAATATTTTGGAATCTATATTTTTTCTTTTCAAATTACAAGTTTCAACAAGCAATTAACTTTATTAAATTTTACAGCATGAAATTAATAGGGGAGGTTCATTGATGGAGGTTGAAAGTCATTGGAAAGGAAACCTATTATCTTCAATGTTTTCTGCATAGTTTAATAGGGATCCATCGGTAAGTCAATAAAAATGATACTATTAGTCAATTGAATTCATTGCTTCAACATTTGGGATACATTGCTCAAGATTTTTAAGAGCTCAACTTCCTAAACCACTATAAAATTCTGTGTCATTTGAATTCATTTTGGAATTAGTTTTTTAAAATGTATATTTTACATTCTAAAATGAGTGAGAGATGGATATATGAAGAAACATTCCAATTTAAACTTCACAGTTGAAATTTACTTATTCTTCATACTGAACAATATAATTTTAATCTCTTGCCAAAACTATAACATAAATTTTATTAATTTGAAGAATTAAACCAATTAAAATTCCCTTTTGACCATTAACCTAGTTTAATGGCTTAAACAACAGAGAAATTCTGGAGATCAGGCTGCAAATTTAAACTGTCTCAAGTGACCTAAATCAAAAGTTGCCAAATGCCTGAAAGTGTTTTATAGGATTATTCTTGCAGTACAAATACATCAGTATAGGGACAACCAATCAAAAGTTCAAGAAAATATTAAAATAATTTCGATACAATTAAGTTAAATCACTAAGTTCCAGAACTAATCGAAATTTTTTAGAATAAACTGTTTTCAGTACACCCTCGAACATATAATTGTTTTTACTTGAATCCCAATGATCTTTAAAATTATCGCATTATCATATTTTTGGGGTTTGAAACAGCCCTAAAACTAACCCTGTGAACATACTTTTTAAATTTAGGAATCCAATTAAAAAAATGTTTTAAGAACTGAATTGAAATTTCTCAAATTGATCAAAGACTTCCATTCTTAATTCAGGAATCCAATTAAAAATTAGTTTTAAGAATTTATTTGAAAATTTTCAAATGTTCAAAGACCTACTTGGTAATTTAAAAATGATTTTAATACATGAAGCATTGCAGGGAAAATAATACTAGAAAGGATGAGCACATCAGATAAGCACGGCATAAACCAGTTGAGAGGATCACAAATCATATACATCTTCAATTTTAACTTCAAAAAATAATGTACAAAATGAATCCTGCAGAAGGGTATTTAATGACAGCAATACATCTGAACATGCAATCAAGAGATATATATGGGTTTCACAAATCCTTTGCTTCCCATCAATAAATGCAGAATCACAATACAGTCTCCCATATTCTGTACAGCAATATCACCTCCCAAAAAATAGTCTAGAAGCTAAATCTTGTACCAATTTCACTTTTTTTTTTTGCACCATGTTCTAAAAGATACAGTTATCATTGCATGAATTCTTTAACTTAAGGACCTGCATACATATGATTAGAAAAACTCATTCCTTGAGCTAATATTAACATTAAACCTATCATTTCTCATATCTCAGGCAGCAGAGAGAAATTCATGCACTGATGCTGCATCTTGAAAATTCTACATGCAAACATAAGCTCCTATTTTTGCAATAAGTGAGCATTCGCTTCAGTTGATATAGACAAGTCAAATGTCAGGAGTTTCATCCTATGGCTTAGTTGGCACGTGACCTGAAAGGTTCTGAACTCCACAAGCCTGAGCTGGATACCATGCAAAATGGAATAATGTGCCTCAGCTCCCCTATTCTCCGATCAAAATTTATTACATTGATTCTCCTATGCTTTGGCTCCTTATTTTACAATTACTTCCTCAGCAAATAGAACAATGAATGGATCATTCTGACAAACTTCAAACTTTTGTCCACAAAAGTGGACCAAGGAATATATGCTCCATTTCATAAACCATTAGCCCGGCTGAGCAAAGAGTTGGGATTTAGATCAAGGGATGGGTTGATTTTCACATTATCCCCCAGCAGCTGCCGGCAAACACGATCAGCCAAGACTGATTGAACATCATATGACTCATTACGAGGGGACCGAGCAAACTGCTTGCCCAGAACATCACTTTCACTTATAACCAGTTCTGATGTCATGTGAGTTGTCTGTTGCATTCCTCGAAAAATGTCAACGTTCAAGTCATGATGAGTAGGGCCACTAATGTAGATACCATTTGAGGGCTTTGGCATGTTTCCAAGACCCTCTTGAATGTAAACTAAGTGATTACTAAATGGAATGGCACCACTACCACTGTTAAGAGGCGTGGATGCACCAGAAGCAGTCCGAGGGCTGGATATAGGAGAGGGAGACATTCTCCCATTCATATGTTGTGGCGATCTTGGCCTCAAAAGTGGACTTCCAATGGGTGAGACAGGGCAGGATATATTCCTCGGAATATGGATTTCACTGGACATTAACAAAGTAATTTCAGATCACTATTGGCAGTGTCAGGAACCTTGTGCATGCAGTGTGAGTGTGTGGGTGGGAGAGAGAGAGAGAGAGAGAGAGAGAGACCTTGCATGAGGGTTAGTTTTCAGAAACCTAGAAGAATGTCTGGAAAGTCTATCTGAATCCAATGTAGAAGGATTCCTTCCTTGTCCAATACCCTGAAAATGTATCTCAGATTAACATAATAATTACCAGAGGATAGATGAAAAACCATAAAAAACAACTTCTAAGATTATTCCATTGTGACAGCAAAGTTTTCCAGCATCATACAATAGAAAGATAGTTCAAATGAACACCTGGATAAAAGTTTATTTTTCTTATAAGAAATCACCACCACCACAATTCCCCTGACGACAACAGTCCTTTATTTAGTTGGTTTCCCGCTCCAACCACCATGTTTGTACTTTACTCTATGGTAATGGAAAATTTATATCTTACAGTTTGTAAAGAGTAAATGGTTTCCTATAGTTTCTCAAGGTGTCTGTGCCTAGCCCTGTCTTTTTAGTCTCTACTTCCAAGGGAAACAATGACAGGATGAAGCATTAATGGAAATATTACACATTTCGACAAGAACATGAATCCTTTTCTCCAAACAGTAAAATTAAAAACTCCAAGGTATTACTAAGTGACGATTCCAGAATACAATTTTAACAGTTGAAAAAAGGGCATTTATGAGTTTAATCAGTCATGTTATCAAGACCACGGAAATTGATTGATGCATGACAAAGAGAGCAATATTAGAATGATGTTTGATTTTGAATGTTTCAGTAATTTTCTAGGAATTTGTTTTTAAATTTTATGACAACCTATTTAAATAATTTAAAGGTAATACTGATGGTAAATTATGACACAAATTAATCAAGAAGTCCTAGAAGAGCCAATCAAATCATGGCAATGGGCCTGTTTTAAATAAATTTCTCTACAAACACTTACAGAAAAAAAAATATGAAATAAGTTCTTCCAAGGTTAAAATTAAGTAGTATATAAAATAGTTTATATTAGGGGAAGCTAATATTATAAGGGGAATAAGGGAGCACTAATATTATAAAATAGTTTATTCCTATCATGTGCATGGGGAATAAGGAGACACATATATTTGACACAGGCATGATATGGAATGCAAGAGAAGCAGGCTCTCCCCCATTTCGCGCGAAGAATATGGAAATAGACAAATCAATTTTTTATTTGATGAATGCTGTCAATAGCTTCCCTACCGGAGTTGTAGCTCCTTGTGTGATCCCAGATACAGATGGGTCTGAAGAAGCATCAGGACCCAGAATAGGTCTTTCTAAAGGTGCAGCACATTTTACAAAAGGGTGGTCCAATAATTCACTGGCTGAGGGGCGGTTGTGTGGATTCCGTTGTAGGCATTTCCTAACAAAATCCTTTCCTTCACTAGATAAATGATCTGGGATTGTTGGCAGTTCCTTGCTATTACCAATCTTGAACATGGCAGCAACCTGTTTTGTTAACATGCAAAGACAATAACACTTCAAATCAACACATAAATTAGTATAAGAAATATCATCAATGCTTTATAATTGAAAATAACAAACTACATAAAATAATAGGGGATAAAATATAATATAAAAAACTAGCAAAAAGATCAAATCTATTGACATAAATTACTAACCCCTTCGTATTGACTCCAAGGAGGTTTAGTTGTAGCCATTTCCAAAACTGTGCATCCAAGGCTCCATATATCAACAGCAAGGTTGCAACCATTGGAGTTTTTTATAACCTAAAAAATCAGAACAACAAGCTATCATGTCATAAAAGCAAGATGTACTTGAACCTATAAAAAACTGAAACTAAGAAAATATTACTACCTCAGGAGCCATCCAATAGGGGCTTCCCTTAAACGATAATGGACATGATTGCCCTGTTATCTGCAAAATATGCAAGTTAATAGTTAGGGGAACAGCATTGATCATGCAACCTTGTGACTATTTTTATACCAGATGCAATATGAAAAGGAAATTATGCAGGAAAACAATGTCTTTTGGATTCATAGTGATCTTTTGCAAGTTGAAGTCATGCATGATAAACTGGTAGGAGGTGAGACAGGAAAAATATCTTCCAGGGAAGGTAAAAAAAAAAAAAAATACAAAAAGGGAACACAAATAAACCCTACTGAAAGATATCTCCAGAGTCATTGAGTTAGTAAGGTTTAAACCTTTATTCATACTTTCACTAGCAACAGAAAATAATTATCATATCCTAAATGCAAATAATATGGATAAGTTTTATCCCCAAGCTTACATGTTTTGCCATGCCAAAGTCTGCCAACTTAACCCGGCCATTAGTATCTACCAGTATATTTGCTCCTTTGATGTCCCTTTACAAGAAATACAATTTAAGTGATAGATATCAGAACTTGGAAGCATAGAAGATTAATCATTATAAATCATAAGTAAAATTTAAAGTTTTAAAAATTAATGTGACCAAGTTCACCTGTGGACAGTATTCTTAGTATGTAAAAAAGCAAGTCCGGACAAAATTTGTTGAGTAAAGCTACGAATAGCTAGTTCACCAAATTGTCCATATTCTTGAAGAAGTTTATATATGGAGCCTCCTGCGACATACTCTAGATATATGTAAAGCTTGTCACCTACCTGTTTAAGGGATGATTCATCAGAATCTATAAGTAGACTAAAATTTTAAATACTGCAGACAAGTTTCTAATATTGTGGTGTCAGGTAAATATATAAACCAACTAATAATCTGGTAACTAGATGATTATGCAAGCATTAGAAATTGATATAAATCCCAAAGTAGATCATGATCACTCACAGGTAGCAAATATAAACAGAATGTGAACAAAATAGGAAATGGTGAACTTACTGTTTCAGAACCATAATACTGCACAATACTTGGATGCCGTAATCGACTTAACAAGGTAATTTCCTGCCAGAATCTGGGGATTAGCATTTGAAACTACACTATATTTGAAACAGAATAGATACAATTTACAAATTTATTTCCAAAGAGAATAAGGATTACACATCCAACAAAAAATTTCCAACGTCAAGAAAGGAAATCTATTTACCTGCATTAATTGCTTAGCACTTTCTTTAGATTTGGCATCATCTGAAAACAGAGTCACCTCTTTCATAGCACACATTTCACCACTTTCCCTAAGCATGACAACATTTTATCCAAACAATCTATAAGATGCATACAATAATGGATTTAAAAGTAGAAAAAAAAAAATTCTTCATAATAGAATCAAGAACAAGTGGTCTAAAGTACATACTTATTAAATCCAACAAAGACATGTCCAAATGTGCCTCTGCCAAGCAGTTTTCCTTTTTTCCAACGTGACCCTGGGCTTATTGGATTATCTGCTCTTCCTGGACTTCTTGGCATTGATGGAGAAGTTGCTGCAGAATTTGAATGAGAGAAAGGTAAAGTATTGGTCACTGCCAAGGGAGGAAGGGGCAAACGATGACTCTGTTGTTTTCCATCATCAATCCGTCCTGTCTGTGATTCATTGGGTGTTCCCCCAGCTCTAGGATGAATAGGTGTAACAGCACCACTCTGAATTCTAGAGCTAGGACCAGGGCTAGTCATTCTGGGACTGGGTACAGGAGAATATTCAGGGCTACCCCTGCTAGGTTGCCAAAATAACTGTCCAGACATGTCCCCTCCCATTGAATTATGTCCAGAATTGTGACCAGAACCTGGACTTGAGCAGTGCCCAGATCCACCTAAATTGACCTCTGAATATGGCTTTCCAGCCCAAAAGGCAGAGTTCAACACCTGCTCTGTGCCAAATACTCTCAAAGGACTCCGTGATGGACTTGATTTGGAACTATCAGGTGCACTGCAGAAGGCACCATGAGGAGGAATCTGCAAATTTGAAACATGGTTGCTTAAAGGCCTCCGTTTTGGTGATGTAGAAGACATGTGATTACCCAGAATGTTTGCTGGTTTTTTGGTTTCTCTTGAATTTATTTGGGAAACAGTAGACGATAGATCCTTGGGCGTCGAGCTTCATAAAAAGGCCAACATCCAAAATGAGTGAAGTAAAAAAAAAAAGTTTGCTAGTAATGATAAATCATGAACTAGCCATCCCAAAAGCTTAAGCTTAAGGTGATGACTCAACTATGGTTTTTTGTTATATCTTCAACACACCCTCATATACCATTGAACTTGATGCATGGATAATTCTTTGGTACACCTATCTTGATCTGAAAAATTCAACCTTTTTTATAGAATGGGGGCAGCAAGGATTGAACTGAGAAGCTTTGATAATATGCCATGAACCAACTACCCTAAAAGCTTAAGCTTTCAGGTGAAGAAAACACATCTCTGTTCTCTAAGTCTAACAATACATAACCTAGGCATGTATATGCAACAAAATATGCAATCTTGAAGCACATTATTATGAATGCTAGTAGATTATACCTGGAAGGACTGCCTGCAGCAGTTCTAGTCCCATTTTCACAGTCAGTTGCCAGAGGACTACGATTGCGAGAGTCTACAGGCTCATCACTGTCAGCAGAGCTCTCACTAGAGAATGAAGCAGTGACCAGATCTCCATCCAAATCTGCAGGGTTCAGCCTACCACGCATGCAAGCCGGTTTTGGTAGTGGAAACAATGATGGTTTGGAGCCTTTTTCTAGTCTTGATTTAGCTGATATGCTAATTTCAGAATCTGCTCGGCTTACATTTGATGGGTGCAAGCCAGGAAGTGGTAGTGGCTGAGCATGAGGCCTTTCGGCAAAACTTTGACACCTTGCCACTTTGGAAGGTGAAGGAGATCTTGATTCAGGAGGAGACTGAGCCCCTTTCTCAGAGATTGAGTCATTGCAACGTCTACGAGATCCTCCAGATCTACTGCTTGATTTACTTTCAGATGGGATTTTAAATTTTCGGTGAAATGTATTGATAAAACTTTCCTTATTTGCTTTCTTCTTGGTCTCTTTTGACGATTTCCCCCACCATGTAGGCATATTTGTATTTTGTATATGCGTTAAACAGTTTCTTAAAATAATACCATTAATAGTTTGAAATATCTAACACTTCAAGTCAGTATGTGGATTTACAAGCATTTCGATCCTGCCAAAACCCTCATCAAAAGAAGAATCCAATAATTCCAAAAGCAGTATTTCAGAGTCCGAGACAGAAATTAGTGACTGAAAATGGTTACTGAAAGCCTGGAACAAAGAATAACACGTATATTCGATCACTATAAAATCAATGTCACAACCTTATGAACATATTACATCCAAGTTCTTCTACATATTATCCTTAACCAGTAAAATTATGACAATACAATCCTGAACAATATATCTCCAGAAGATGATAGCATAAACTAAAAATTCAACGATTCTCTAGTTTATGCTACAACAATTATCTACTTTTTTCAATAAGTTGGTCCAACAGTGCATGGTAAGAGAAACATCATAACCTGATCTTAGACGACAACATATTAACTAAAAATAACAAAAATGAACAATTCCATCAGCTAACCCTTGGGCCCCCAGAATCCCATGCCCAAAACCTAATACAGTATCAGAGCAATACAGTTAAGTCTAAACACCTCTAACCTTCCTATACCTAATCGGTATAAACTATTGCAACATGACATCATTTACTGTACAAATCTTGTATGCAGATTCTAAAACTCCCCAACACTTGAAAGCATTAGTTTGACAACAACATCCACTACTCCACATCAGCTCAAATTCCTTATTTAGAAACATAAAAATACATAGTTTAACATGTCCCAACTGCAGAGTTGTAATCTAAAAAAAAGAGAGAGTAAATAATGCATATAAAATTATCAAAACCATAAATTTTGTACACAGATCGTCAAAATATTAGAAACATATCTCCTAATCAAACAAGTATACATAAACAGATTACTTTGCGCGCGTTCTAATACCCAGATTCCTAAACCCTCTCCAAAAAAACTCTACCTTTCAACTTCACAGTTCACCACACCAAAATTTCTCATAATCCCAAGTAAAATTACCACCCCATTGTTAAAAACAATCACATCAAAACACAGATCCACTCATCACCCACACATATCACTGAACACAGAAAAACAGTCAAATCAACGAACTCGATCATCGTTCACTGAAATTAGGAACAAGCCCAAAATGCAAGAAAGCTGGAAACTTACTTCGAATTGCTCCACGCCGTGAATCTGAACTTAACCCCACACTGTGATGCTCAGCTCAAATCTGGGTATGCAAAAAAGTAAAGAAAAAAAAAATCGTTTTTCTCTGAACCACTCGGAACCCCAAAAAGGAAACAGACCCAGAAACCAAAAATGCAAGAAAATGGAGAAGGATTTGCAGTGGTGTGTGGTGAAAAATTGGGAATTGGAAGATAGTGAAAGAGATCGCGTACGGAAGAAGAGAGAGAGAAGGAAAGAGAGAAGAGAGAGTGTGTGTCTTTCTCCGTGCTAAGACATCGAAGAAGAGGGTCTTTGAGCGTTGATTCTTAATAGTTAATAATAATTAATTAATTACAAATTGCAATAAAAAAATAAAAAATTATGGAACCTAATTATTACCTTGTTTTTATTATTACATCTTTTGCTGTTGGAAATTATTACAACCCACAACTCTATATATATATATATATATATATATATATATATATATATATATATATATATATATATATATATATATATATATATATATATATATATGTAGTATAAAGTATTGGAGATTATTTCAGTAGAGATTCTTAGGTTACACTTTTTTTATCATTATTATTACTATTATGAACATTGATACGTAGTGATTTGTAATCTGAGTCACTAAGGAATATCGACATTGAATGATGAAACCTTACTTTAAAGGTTATTGGGACAAGTTTAATGATAAAATAACAAAAAAATGTGCATGACTCATAGTGTAATATTACAATCTAAGTTTCACCAACATTATGAAAAAAATAAATAATTTAGTTGTTCTGCTAAAACATGTCATAATCTCATGTGTTTATGAGAATCAATGAGTCTTTGTGTTTGATCCATTTAATGGAGAAAAGTAAAATTATAATAATATTGTGTGTTTCAAAAGAAAAACTGATGGAGAGTTATTTGTGTTGAAAGTACAATGGTTTTAGGGTGCAAAGTTTCTTCTTTATTTCGCTAAGAAATGAGAGAAAAAGTTATCAATAAGTTGTAATATAATTAATCATGTGTTTTAAAATAATAAATGTTTTAAAGTGTTATTTGTATCCATATAGATTAAAAGATACCTTATAATTTATTATAACTTATGAGTATCCCTAATTGATTTTGATGTTTATTTTTTTTAATAATAATAATAAAAGATAATTAACGTTTTTTTCCTTAAATTTCAAAAATTATCCTTTTAATTTGTTAATACTAATGAAATTACATGTGTCGTTACTAATATAAATGTTATTAGTTACATCAATAACTATTAGTTATTGAAGAAAAAAATATTTATTGAATTTAAGAAAAAAAATGAGAGATTAAAAATATATTTAAACTTATGTAAAATTATATTTTTTCAACTCATTTAAATAATTTATTTTTAAGTATAATTTTTTTCGTTTTCCCATATTTCCTTTTGCATCATGAAATGAAGTATTAGAAACAATATATTTCAGTGGGTTAATTAAAAGCGATGAAGTAAACGAAATAATGTTTATTGAAAATATATTTTTGTAAGATTTTATGTCATCCGTGAGAGAGACCCGCCGAGGAACGAATAAATAAATAAATAACAAATTAATAAAATAAGAATAATTTTATTATGACAATTATTATTTAATAAAAATAATAATTTTAAAAAGTTAATATAACGTGAAATAAGATTTTATCTTTAATATATATATATATATATATATATATATATATATATATATGTGTGTATTTTTTATCCATTAAGAAAAAGTATTGAACTACAAATTAAGAAAAAAATATTATTTTTATTTTATTTTATTTAAATAATTCACAAAAGATTCTATATTTTTATTATATATAATTATTAAAAAAAATTAAAGGTAAGTCTCCATTCTTTTCACATGGAGTTATTTTTAATTATTTTGAAGTTGTATTTCAAAATTTGAGCATTAAATCTCGTACTCTTTTATCAATCTTCACTCATTTGGTGTGAATACGTGGTACTGAAACCAAAAATAGAATTTTATTTCACTCATATTCTCAATTTTTGGCTAAAAGACTTATAGTCTAGTATAATAATGAGTCCTATATATTTTAAGAATTAAAGTTAATAAAAGTTTATATACATATTTTTTTTAACCTATTAAAATATTTTTTAAAAATAAAATCATAACAAATTAAAATTTCAAAATAAAAAAAATAAAAAAAATTACCTATAATGAACATTATATCAAAAAATTCTTATACTACATCGATACCACGTTATCATATAAACTAACATATAAGAAGTTTACATCAATTTATCCAATGCTAATTTTTGTTCTCATAGAAAGATTTAAATTATAAATATATAAAACATTATTAATAGCGATTTATAAATTAAAATGTTTGTATTCTTATTTATTTTCACTTAACTCTTAAAAATACATTTTCTTAATCCAAATTCATTTCAAAAATAACTTAGATAAACGAAAATGTTAAACTTCTAAAACTTCCTTAAAAATTATTTTATCAAGAATAAAAATATTCCAATCTTATATTCTTAGAATTTATTATTATATCTAAGACATTATTTATTTAAAACTTTAATATTTCATAATTTTATTTTTAAAAAGAGAAAATTATGTAGTTAAATTTAACTTTTGAAGGATGCAATACTTATAAATGTAATGAGATATAAATTATTTTTAGTCACATGAAAGGTATTTCTCTCTTTACATTTGCTTGATAGTATGTTTCGAGTGGCGGATTTTAATCATTTATTTTGAGAGGTTAAATAATATATTATTAATAAATAATAAATAAATATAAAAAAAATGAAAGGGTGAAATGATAAAATTATATATACTTAAATATATTAAATAATCGCTAAGTTTGAGTGAACAAAATCATAAATTATATGAGAGTTACAAAGCTGAGGAAAGACTAAGAAGATAAAATTGTAAATAAATAAATATATATATATATATATATTAAATGTTCATTAAATTTTAGGAAGTAAAACCATAAATTAGAGTTATAAAAAAGGAGCACGGACCCTCAACTTTTAAGAAGATCCGGCAGTAGTATGTTTACTAATGGGAATTGAAGGTTAATGTTAGTAATGCATGCATATGAAATTTCACTACTGATGAAGGTTGTGATAAGTTTTAGGGTGTTACGCAAGCAATCTTTTTCCATGCTTCAGCTTCAGTGCATCATCATATAATAAATAATCTCTTACATTATGTTTGCTTCCAATTCAATTGAATTTGGTGTCAATGTGTTCCTTCAATTTCTCACGCAATCATATGTTATGTCATTCCATTGATTTTGGATGCAAAAACTCTCCAAAAAGATAAAAAAAAAAATGTTACTTTCTCCTACAAAAATCACTTATGGTGTTTGTCTTTTACAAGTTTTTTTAATTTCTTCCATTTTCTATGAACAATAAATTGTCTTTTATTAAAATATTTTAAACTTGAACTTCAAATTATCGATTTTTTAACTAATATAAACTTGCGCTAGTTGATTTACATATTCTTATTCTTTAATTTATAATTCAAATCAAATATTTTATTTTTATGTTTTATATTAAGAAAATGAATTTTACTAATTTAATTAATATCATATAAATTAATTCTATTAAAACATTTTAATAATATATAAGTCTAATATCTCTTAAAAATTGAGACTAATGATAATTTATAGATATTTTTTTATTTATTAAAATATTTAAAAATAAAATAAAATTATAATAAATTAAAATTTTGAAAAAGATAATATTTTAAATATAATAATAATAGTAAATATTAATAATATTATTATAGCAGAGTTTAACATCCGATACCTTAATCTTGGATTATATATGATTATGGTATTAATAATTTGATGGCAAAAAGAGACACAAAATGATATGAAGAATTGAAGATAAAGAAAGCGAAATAAAGAATTAAGCAATGAGACAAGGCAGAAGAACATGGAATCTTGTTGGCTCCAAAACTTATGAATAAGGCAAAGGGAGATGAATTGGACATTCCATGGCTTTAAGGCACCCTCCCACGTGCCATGGTCCCACATTTTCTTCCCTATTATCGTGGGGTCCTTCATCTACACATAACCACGCACGTGTCTACTTCATATCTTCATATTCAATGACTTGCCATTACAACTAAGGACAGAAAAACTCTTTTATGTATATTGACAACATAGTTCATATAACTGCTATTTCATTTAATTAACTAAAACAATATTTAAAGTTCGAGTTATAAGTTTTGTGTAGAAGAAAAAAAAATTGTTAAGAAAGAAAATTCAATTGTTGTAGTAAATTAATTTTCTTATATAAGAGATAATAGTGATAAAGTTAATATATAGAACTTTATCACAATAAATAATAGTAAGATTTTTTTTAACTTTTATAAGCAAATTTATTGTTAAGTTAATAAAAAATGAATTTGGGAAACTTGAAAAAAAAATCTCTTAAGTTATATTTGAATAAAGGATTTTAAATTTTCAAAGAATTAAAATATTTTAAATTTGAATTTCTGTAACTTAAATTTATTTTTTTGATAGTATAATTTAATTTCTTTGTATGTAAAAGGTTAAATATATATATATATATATATATATTTGAAAAATTAAAACATAAATGGTTAGTATTATGAAAATAAGTATGAAATTAATTTTAATTTTAAATATTTAAAAATTATTAACATTTATTAATTTAATAATACAAATATTGATATTTTTATTTCAATTTAACATATAAAAGAGAAATAAAACACGAGGAGAGAAAAAAGAGAGGGATCAATACAGAAAATGCTACAGAGCTAATAAGAAATAGAGAGTGAGAGAAGTGATATAAATTCCTTATTTTATATAAAATTTAAATTATAATTTTAAATGATAAAAAATATTCTTATATATTTTTAAAAATTCTAATCAGTTTTTTCTATAAAACATTTTAAATTCTCTTAACAAAATAAGTTTCTTCAAATTATTTTTTCAGTCATAACGTTAGAGTTACTTTCGAAATAATTTGATTATTTCTCTTTATATATAATATTATTTTTAATATTTTGCAAATAATTCTAATAGTTAAACAATACTACTTAATTACTTAATGGACACAACTTAAATAAGCCAATATTATTGTTAGACAAATGACATTTAGAGGGTGAATAAATGCATAAATTAAAAATTTATTTAAAATGTCTAATAATTTGTTAATTCAATTTTAATTATCAGATTAAATACGGATAAAGCTGAAGCGATAAAAGATATAAGGAAAGATAAAAAGCACACAATATTTTATACTGATTTGAGTCAAATCAACCCTGCATTCAGTTTTCTATCACATTTAATATGAGAGTGACAATCAAATTCACTATCTTTAAAATTCAGTTTACAAATTATAATCAATTTTGCAGAAGAACCAGTAAACTAATTAAAAAAATAAACATCTCTCAAGAATCTCACTAGAGATGAACACTTCCTTTGAACAAATCAAATAATGAACACACCTCTCAAGAATTACACTTGAGATGAACACCTCCTCTAAACAAATCAAAGGATGAAACACACCTCTCAAGAATTCTACTTGAGAAGAACACCTCCTCTAAACAAAACAAAGGATGAAACACACCTCTTAAGAATTACACTTGAGATGAACACCTCCTCCGAACAAATCAAAAGATGAACAATTCCCACAAAGGAAACCCTAAATTATAAGAATTTCAACAAGAACAATCACACCCGATAATGGAGACAACAAATTGTAAAAGCTTGTAGAATGATAACTTCAAGGATAAGTGTGATTAACGATGAAAACACGTAAGACGAAAGAGAAAAATTTTTATCGAGAAAATATAAAATATCTCTCGTTACCTTACTCAAAATTATTTTCTCAAAATTGTGTATTCAAAATTGTGTATTCAAGTTCTGTATTTTGATTTTTCATCAAAATTCATTTATATAGGAAAATAACATTGAATATGTTAGAATAAAAATAAAAAATAATCATTGCTAATAATTAATTCGTAGAAAAAATCAAGATGTTTTCAACAGTTATTACTTTTCAAAAACAACTATATTTTTTAATTTCGAAATGTCATAATTGATCATGTTACTTGCATAATCAATTATGACAAAGGTAAAATTAATTTTCATTTCTGATGCATCATAATCAATATAATACTTACATAATCAATTTTGACAGTAAAATTTTCAAAAATAATTTCTCATTTACTGACATAATTGATTATGAACCTCTTATAATCGATTATGACAGTAAAAAATGTCATAATACGAAATTGTTTCATACTTATGGTTTGAAAGTTTATACATAATACTATTTTATTAACTTGTACCTCCATATTCGGGGTTATAAGATTTTATCTAGTCTCTGGGTTTGCATGAGCTTGAGTGATATTGACTTGAATCTTCATCATAATATAGGAAAATATTTCGTTGTTATCAATCTTCCTATCTCCCTCAAAGTATTTTCAATTAGTATTTTAAAGATACACTAATAACATTTATTTATTACATTTCCAATCCAAAATGTAGTTCAATTTCATGATGTACTATTTGTTTGATTTCTTATTATTTGCGGGTTGAACTGAATTTTACTGCACTACTTAAATTAATACACTTTTTTTTTAATTACAAAATTGTAATTAAATAAGTATAGCATTTCACATAATTCCTAAACTGACATTTTATTAAAATTTTTTGTCAGGATCATCATGGTTATACATTTATTGGATGATATAAATGACAAAAAAGGGAGAAAATCCTTTGTTAATATGCATGAATTTTCTTACATAACCTTAGAAATATGTTACAATGAACCTATTTTGCTTGTGTAAATTTCTCATAACCTTTTTATTATTTTATGAGTGTCAATCCAATAGCAGTGACTATAAGAGTTGAAGGAAGACCAAATTTGAGATGAGTCCAAAAGGTTAATGTGTATCCAATGTTTGGAGCTCTGCGAGCTTGTTCACAGACAACCAAGTTGGCAGCTGATCCTAACAGTGAAAAGTTTCCTGCTATGGTGCTTACCCAAGCTAGGATTAGCCATGCTTTCTTCTCATCTTCTTTGGAAATTGCAGCAGCTGAAGCTGCAACTCGTGCTCCAAGCAACAGAACTAGAAAACAGAAATAGAATGTTTTAGTGCATCAGATGAAAATGGCTCATAGTAAAGATGAATATCTATTTAGTCTAGGTCATTTTGTTGTTCTGAAAATATCATCATGTACTTACCAGTTGGTACATTTGAAGCCAAATTTGATAGGACTAGTATAACTATGGCAAGTGTAGCTATTCCAGTAGCATGATCAATTCTAGAATAAGGCTCCATTAAGTCCCACAGAGCACTTGGAATTCCAGTTTTTTTGAAGCCATCAACTGTGATAAACATTCCACAGAAGAATATGAGAAGTGAATACGAGACCTGTTGCAAGAAGAAAAAAACACTGTAAGAGATTGTTTGAAGTTCAACTGGCACTAGAATAACTATAGCTAGAGTTTCAAAAGGAAGAGAGATACAATGGGATTATGTTCAAGAGGTTCTATTATATTAATTTTACCTTCTCTATGCTTGGTCCTGCGTCTTTGAAATCAAGCACCACCAAAATTATTGCAGCTGCAATTGCAGCCCATGCCATATTTACACCAAGAAGCATTGCAATCAGCATCATCAATGTGATTACATAAACACAAGATTTCCATAAAATCCTTTTCCATTTTCTGCTCAAGTAGTCCTCCTTTCCTTCTGAAGAGTGCATAACACGTGCTTCTATAGGTTTATCTACTACTAGTGCAACATCTTTTGAAGGATTAGTTTCCTCGTTTGTATCATTGGTTCCCTTGGGTGCATTTGCACTTGTTGTGGAATCCATTGCGTTTGTGCTACTAAGAGCCATCTGAACTTCACTTAAACTTGGGAATGTTTGGTTTGCCATAACTTGTGTAGAATTTTGAAGATTATTAGTAGGTTCTGAACTGTCATTACATTCTTCAGAATTAGAGGATGCAAAATGAGTCATTATAGCTGGAGAAAACTGATGGGACATAACCTCCTCTTCTGCAACTTCTGAAATTGGATCCTCTTCATCCTTATGCACAGTTAATACCCTCCAATACATGGCTATAAGAATTACAATATTCACTACAACTCCTACAAGCATAGCTGGAAGAATGCCGGTTAGAAAACTGCCAAATGATATTTTACCTTGAATGGCTATAACCAGATTCTGGGGGTTCCCAATTGGGGTTGCTGAGGACCCAATATTAGCACTTGAAGCAAGTGCAAGAAGGAAAGGGTAAGGTGGGAGGTTATGCTGCCTTGCAATTTTCAACACAAATTCAGTCAATACAACACAAGAGGTGTCATTGGTGAAAAAAGCACTTGAAATAGCAGAAATCAGACAGATTCTACAAAGTAAGTCTTTTGGTCCTCTGCTTTTCCATGAGAGCAATTTCCCCAAGTACTTGAACATGTCTGCTCTTTCAAGAAAAATAGTGACAACCATTGTCCCAAAAAGAAGACCAAGAATTGGGATATCAATTGCAGCAAAAGCTTGATCTGGAGTAAGAACTTGGAATATGACCATAAGCATTGCACCTAGTAGGGACCCTGCAGTTCTCCCAATAGGTAGAAAAGGCACACATGGGAAAACTGCTAGAACCCAAAAGATTGCAAAGGCTATTGAACCAAGGACAACTGTTGGAGGAGGAGCCAGTGCCATTATTGTGCTTAAACAACCAACAATTCCCAAATTTCCAAACAAATATTCAAACCTCCAACTCCAGGTCAACGTAACAGAATGTTGTTTGGTAGAATTTCCTGAACATGGAAATGCATTGGTTAGTAACATAGAGAGACTTCATGAAAATTCAACCTCTAAGACTCCATTACCTATTCAATCTATCACTTTGAGACATGAATTATGTGAATCATTATTATTGAAGATTAAGGATCAAGCAGGTAGAGTACATATTTTTATGGTTTTTGACAGTGCTCAACTGCATTAGTATATACTTTAAATAAAATTAAATATCGATAAGACACTGGAATTTCATGTTATAAACATAATAACAGTGTTGAAAGTTATAGTCGCATGAATTTCATAGCCTAAAATAAAAATTAAAAGGAGTAATAATGTAAAATACAACTTAGGATAAGAAATCAACAAGCTCATGAATAACCTGTAACAGAAAAAATGATTAGCAAACCAAAAAACCAATACCAATAACAGGGGAATCACAAAAGTATTAATAATAGCTGTTTCAACTCTTTCTCAACGCCATGTGTCAGTGTCTTATTGGGGGAGAATGGTGTTTTTTCCTTGGCAACAAAAATAGGATAATTGGTGCGACATGTGTACGGTCAAACATCGTCATGGTACACTTGACTTGAGAACCATATCCACTTTTTCCCTTTTTTAAGGGCTATTTGTCCACAGTTAACGCCTCAATACCCACCTAGTATGTGTTTGGATCATCTTAATGGAGTACTGACATTAAATATTGAACAAAGTATCTGTACATTCTAGCAAAATCGAACTGATAAGAGTTCAATGAACTCTCAAAATGCATGAAATCTGTAGGTAAACAAAGAGCATATAAGTGGACTGTTCAACCACTTCTAAAAAACCAAGCCAGAACAGGAAACCACTTAATACATGTTTGGTTTAAATTTACAAATTTTAACGCAAAAGTTTGCATTCTAATATTGAGAAAGAAAGATTTCCTACCTCTGAAATACTAGTATTTTTATAACTCTTTCGGTCTTATTCTAAACATGTACTTCGAAAATTCATAACCACATTGATCCAATTAACAGCAACTGGAAAAGGAAAACAACACAAACATTCATCACACACTTTGCATCATATTCTTACCTTATTAATAACTTGAAGGCTCCATGTAAAGCTATGAACTGTTTTAGAGTCTCCTGAATTGCAAGGAAAATTGCAAGAGCTAAAAACTAGTCAAGAGACTTAACATTACTTGGTGAGAAAGATGACCCTCTTGTTGGTTATATTTATATATGTGCACACTAAAGGATGAGTCGTAAGGGGCAACTGAGTTCCAGTTCATGACAAGTGACCCTTTGTTTACACGTACAGTCTGGAGTATAAAAGTCATAAAAGGCAACTTGCTACTATCACGTCCTTCATCTGAGTGTCATTCACAAGGTGCAACTTGCTACTAACACATCATTCATCTGACTTATACTAATCTTGTTCTCTTTAAACAAAATCTGAAATTCGAATTTTAAGCATGAAAAAAATATGATCCAAAAAGACAGATGAATAATTACCTTGTCTTTATAAGCTAATCTCTTGTTAATGGTTAATTAATTAACCGTTTTACTGGTAAGTATTTTGTATCAATTTATAAAAGGGAAACAAGAGCAACTTGGAACCACTTGGTGGAAGGGACCCTCTATCCATTTATACACTCTGGTGTTTGGACTAAAAGTCATATGAGGCAACTTCAGACATAGCTTCCAATCATTCTTATGGGCCACACTCATTATTAGAGGATTGTTCGTGATGTATTTTTTTTTTACGCATTTTTAATATATTTTTATTATAAAGAAATATAAAATTGTGAGGAAACTATTTTTAACTAAGAAATGAAAATTCTAAAATTTTATAATTTTTAACAGTAAGAAAATGTTGATAAGAATGTTTGTAAGAGGTTGTTCAAGATTGTGTTCATCAAATTGAAGGCACGTTGATGTTTTATGTTGAAAAACAATTTCAGTTGAAACTAAAATGCTGCTGCTGTTGTCTTCTTTTGTTTCCTCTTTCAGAGGATAAGGCTTCTGTCTCATTCCTTTCCTGGGATGTTTCTTGGTACATACATGTTTATTTTTCCTTTAATTCAGCTATTTTAATTGAGAATTAAAATTAATATTTTGAAATATTAATATTTGTTTTGAAACATTGACTATAAAGATACTAACTTTTTTTTTTGTAATGAATTTATTAATACTAATAATTTTAAAAAATGAAAAAAATAATAAAAATTCTCATTTGTAATTTATAAATATATTTTTTTATAAAGAATGAAAAATAAATTATAGTTTAAATAAGATGAAAATATAATAAAATAGTTATTATTTAAAATTAAATGATTAATGTGAAATAAAGAAATAAAGAAATTAAAATTATTATATTTTGTATAAAAAAATTGTATTTAAAAGAATTAAAAATTAAAAACTTTATTTTTTTTATAAAGGTTGAACCTAAAAATTGATTCTATTTTTATACTAATTTCATAAATATCGTTATTTAGAAGTAATATAAATAAGTTGATCCAATAGTTTTTAAAATGCTCAAAACAAAAAAAAATGTAAAAAAAAAATTTGAGATAAGATGGGTTTGTGTAATTTTATATTATTATTTTTTTATTATAAATTTATATTTTCTTTTTCCTTGTCTCACGTTCTTTAAAGTAATATAAAAATGATGAATAATTAGTGTTTTTTTCTTTTTTTTATGGAGCAAGCTTTATGTCTAAAAGTGAAACAGTTAAAGATTTCATAGACGCCACTTGCTTTTGTTTCTTTCGTTTTAAATACGAAGAGAGGTTCAATTAATTGTAAAAGAAATACAATTTGTTATGATTTTATTCCTAAAAATCCACCGTTCTAGGGTTATATAATCTTCGGACTAAATAATAAAAATTGATGATAAGTATAATTTATATTTTAAAATATGGAAAAAACTTTAATCTATGGTTTATTGGAATTTTTAAAAAATATTAAAATATTAATATTAAAATTTATAGATTATAATGTAGATATAAGAAGAACAAATGAAATTTGATTCAATTTAAATAATAAATTTTTTAAAGTTTAATCTATTTTCTGATATTTCGCATCAGATATTAAGCCTGACATCCTACCATAAAAAAAAAATATATATATATATATATATATATATATATATATTTTTTTTAATAATTTTAAGTAATCAGTTGTATTACAAGCAACATATTTATTTAATAAATTTAATATGAATATTTAAAAATTTACTTAAAAATAATAAATTTATATGATAAAAGGTGTAATTAATTGTTTCCATCAATATTTTAAAAACTGAAGCTGTTATGAATAGGAAAAAGCATCTATTTATGGCTTATTAATTCAGTCATCATCAGATTGATAGTAATCAAATTCATATATTTTAATATTACAAAATATTTTAAGAAATAAAATAATCTTAAAATTATTAAATTAATATTAATAATACTTAACAAAATTAATATATATATATATAGCCTCATTCATATCTATTATTTTCTTGTCTTTCTCTTCTTCAATATATTCCAAATTGGACAGTTTTTTTTTTCAAAAGTAATAATAAAAATTATTTTCTAACATTTTTATCTTTTATTCATTTGAATGAACTATTCACACCCTATATTGTTCGGATTGATTGGTGGTGGTGTTTAATTTAATTAATTAAATTTAATCATGAATTATTTTATTTTGATTTATTCTTTTAATTTAATTCAATCTAATTAACAGTATAATTAAGTTAGATTAAATTTGGTAATTAGATTATGTAATTTTAATAATTATTTATTAAAAAATATTTAATAAACAAACTGCGTTTGTAGTCCAACGGTTAGGATAATTGCCTTCCAAGCAATAGACCCGGGTTCGACTCCCGGCAAACGCAATCTTTTTTATTTTTATTACTTAAATTGCATTTTTTTTAATTCTCAAAATATATTTTCTAATATTTCTTGATAATTATATATAACCATAATATTTATATAATATATGAATAAATGATTCTCATAAAATATAAAATTATTTTTTTATTTTTATTACTTAAATTGCTTTTTTTTAATTCTCAAAATATATTTTCTAATATTTCTTGATAATTATATATAACTATAATATTTATATAATATATGAATAAATGATTCTCATAAAATATAAAATTATTTTATCTATAATTAGATTGAATTGAGTTTATCAAATTTAAAACTTACCAATTTAGTACTTAATCAAATGGCATACTAAATAAAATTTAAAACCCAATAATTAAATTGATAAAATTTGGTTAGATATAAATAAAAACTGAATATTTTTTCTTTAATATTCTTAACAATTTATCATGGACTAAAAAAATTTAATAAAACAGAAAATGAATAGAAAAAATACATTAATATAGAAAGTAAAGATATAATTTGTTTATAAAATTATTCTAACTAAATAAAAATTGATTTTTTTTTCTTTTGTATTCTTAACTATTTATCATGGAATAAGAAAAATATAACAAAAGAGAAGTACGAATACAGAAATTCCAAACTAACATTTATTACAACTTGAAATTCCAAAGCATTCCTAACAAACTTTCACCTACAACATCACAATCGTATGCTACTTATTCTGATAACATTAACAACAAAAACAGAGAAAAATACTTGTTGATCTATATATTTTGTCTAACATAATCTTAAAATATATTACAACAAAAACTTACTTTACTTGTGTAAACTTCTACAATAAGATTCTTTGAAGTTTAGTAACTTTTCATTTTATGAGTGTCAACCCTATAGCAGTGACTATAAGAGTAGAAGGAAGTCCAAATTTGAGATGAGTCCAAAAGGTTAATGTGTATCCAAGGTTTGGTGCACGACGAGCTTGTTCGCACACTATCAAGTTGGCAGCAGATCCTAACAATGAAAAGTTCCCTGCTATGGTGCTAACCCAAGCTAAGATTAGCCATGATTTCTCCTCATCTCCTTTGGAAATTGCAGCAGCTGAGGCTGCAACTCTTGCTCCAAGCAACAGAACTAGAGAGTATATACAGAAGATTGTGATACATCAAATGAAAATGGATCTTGGTATATTTGAATATTTATCATTCACTAAACAAGATCAAAACTTATAGACTGTTTCATGATCATGAAAGGAAGTAGAAGTTCAATGGAACATATAAACAAGTTGTACAATGAAAATTATTATTTTGGAAGGTGATCATGTACTTACCAGTTGGTACATTTGATGCCAAATTTGATAGGATAAGTATGACTATAGCAAGTATAGCTGTTCCACTAGCATGATCTATGCGAGAATAGGGCTCCATTGCATCCCACATGAAACCTGGAATTTCAGTTTTCTTAAAGCCCTCTACTGTGATAAACATTCCACAGAAGAATATCAGAAGTGAATATGAGACCTGTTCCAAGAAATAAAACCACGCTAAGAATTTGTTTGAAGTTCAAATGGCACAAGAATAACAATAGCTAGCATGTCAAATGGAAGAGATGAAAAGAGATTTTGTGCAAGAGGTTGTGTTGTATAAAACCTTGTCTAAGCTTGGCCCTGCATCTTTGAAATCAAGAACCACCAATGTTATTGCGGCTGCTATTGCAGTCCATGCCATATTCAAACCAATAAGCATTGCAATCAACATTACCAATGTGATTGCATAAACACAAGATTTCCACAGTACCCTTTTCCATTTTATGTTCATATAGTCCTTTTCTTCTGAAGAGTGCATAGCATGTGCTCCAATAGATTTATCTACTACTACTGCAACATTTTTTGAAGGAATGGTTTCCTCCTTTGTATCATTTATCCCCTCCTTGGATGCATTTGAGTTTGGTGTGCAATCCTTTATGCCACTATGAATCATCTGAACTTCACTTACACTCGAAATTGATTGGTCTTTCACAACATGAACTTGAGAAGAGTTTTGAACAATATTACCAACTTCTAGATTACCATTGCATTCTTGAGAATTCAAGGTTGTAAAATGAGACATTCTAGCTGGAGAAAACTGATGGGAAATAACCTCCTCTTCTACTAGAACTTCTGAAATTGGATCCTCTTCATCCTTAGGACTAGATAGTACCTTCCAATACATCACTATAAGAAAAACAATATTCACAACAACTCCTACAAGCATAGCAGGAAGAATACCCATCAGAAACCTCCCAAATGATATTTTACCCTGAATGGCTATAACCAGATTTTGGGGGTTCCCAATAGGGGTTGCTGAGGATCCAATATTAGCACTTGAAGCAAGTGCAAGAAGTAAAGGGTAGGGTGGGAGGTTATGCTGCCTTGCAATTTTCAACACAAATTCAGTCAACACAATGCAAGACGTATCATTTGTGAAGAAAGCACTTGAGATAGCTGAAATCAAACAGATTCTACAAAGTAAGTCCTTTGGTCCTCTACTTTTCCAAGAGAGCAATTTCCCCAAGTACTTAAACATGTTTGCTCTTTCAAGAAAAATAGTAACAACCATTGTCCCAAAAAGAAGACCAAGAATTGGGAGATCAATTGCACCATAAGCTTGATCTGGACTAAGAACTTTGAATATAACCATAAGCATTGCACCTAACAGGGACCCTGCAGTTCTTCCAATGGGTAAGAATGGCACAGCAGGGAAAACTGCTAGCACCCAGAAGATCGCAAAGGCTATTGAACCAAGAACAACTTTTGAAGTAGGAGCTAGTGCCATTATTGTGATTGAACCAGCAACAATTCCCAAATTTCCAAACAAATATAAAAAACTTCACTTCTAGGCCAACACAAAAGAATTTTGTTTGGTAGAATTTCCTGGACATGGAAAAACAATTTGTCAGTAACTTAGTATGAATGCATGAAAATCCAACCTGATACTCCATTTCTTATTCATCTACTACTTTGACACATGAATTAAGCGAACAATTATCTTGAAAATCATTTGGAGGGTATTACGTTAACAAGCTCTTGAATAAACTGAAATAAAAGAAAAGGGTATCCCTCCAAAAAAACCAAGCAAAAGCATTAACAAAGGAACACAACAAGATGCAAATAAACTCTTTGAAACTCGACTATGGTTTTGTAAAACTAGATTCTAATAGATTTAGAAACTGTCAAAATTTTTTTAGGCATTTTTAACAGCCAAAAACTATAAACATGTCAGAAATTAATTTTATAAAATGAAAGTCGAGTTCCAGAGAATCGACTAACACAATTTAAGTAATCTTTTTTAGAAATATACTACTTTGCCAAATTTAATAGCAAAATATATGAATTTAGTGGAAAAAAAAAACCAATAATAATAACTCATTCAATTCAAGTCATTGCCAACACAGAGTACTACAAAAACAACAAAACTTTTGCATGGCCATTTTTGTCAACAAAAATGACCAAATTAGTGTCAAAACTATACGACCAAACCATATCAAAGATAGATATAGCAGAGTTGCATATCAGCTTTTTGGTTGAAAGAAAAATTTGTACTTATACACACTTGTATGCACAAGTACAACATACTAGTTTTCTTTTCTCTTTTTTTGTAACTGCTACTTAATAAAGTAACCATAAATTTTCAATTTCTCAAAATGCATTAAACCTGGGAAGTTAACAACTTCTTTCAGAAAAAGCAAAGTTTCTATTCTGTTTTTGGTTAATTAAAACGGCCATGAAAACCAGAATTGGAAAACACCATGCTTACAAACTCACTCAGTTAAACACATTAATTTAGCATATTAGCAACAACATGATATCATCATAATAATACAACATTTAATGCAAGAGAATTGAATAGAAAACAAAACAAAGCAAACATATATCAACATCACATGTACTGTTCTTTACCTTAAAAAGGAAAAAAAAAAGGTGGAAGAGGTCGAATTGCAGCAACCTCAGAGCTGAAAACTATTCAAGAGACTTCACACCAATGGCTGCAATGTGACCCTCTTTTTATATATATGCACACTCGAGAATAAAAGCTACAAACACCAACTTTAATGGCTTCCAATCAGAATTATGGCAATTAACAATTTATTCTTTTTTTCTTTTCCTTCAATTAAAGGCACGAGATATTTTGAATGCTGACAAATATTTTTTTGTTTAATCTAGGTTGTACCAGTAGCATTGCCTCTTAATTGAAAAAATAAATACAATGCTTCTAACATATACTTGCACTTGCGTCACTTCACACCACTTTATTATTTAATAATAATAACTAGTTTTTGAAACAACTACCATGTGATACCAATTTTTACTTTCTTTGTTATTATTTTTCGGTATTTGATATGATAAAGTTTGAAAAATTATCTAAAATAAAAATACATAAATTTCAAACTTATATAGCATAAAACTTTTGATTTGAATTGTCTTCTATTATTATTAAATATATTAGGATATAATGATATTAAATATATAGAAAAACTATTTTTTTCTCAATTGGTAATTATTATTATTATGTTTGCTCTTTTTTGTTTGTATAACTATATATCTCGAATTCAACGATAAAAACGATTTAATTTTAAAACATAAATCAAGTAAATTTTTATAAATTATTAGATAAATATCCAAGATGAATAAATTAAATTGCATATATAATACATGTTATGATCATGGTGTTGGATAATCAAAATGATATAAAGTAATTATTAATATTGTGGAAAACTTTGAACATATTTTTCTCTTGACATGGTTGATTTTACATTTAAAATAAAATTATCAAAATTCAAACTTTGTAATATTTGTTATGGTGAGAGAATGATATAATTTGTAAAATAATAATCCAAATGAAATTAAAATTAAGTGTCTAGTGTATTAATTGATGTGATTTCAATCGTTAGAACTTTGTTTATATACAGATTAAAAATATTTTGGGTAATTACTAAGTCCAAATCTCTTGTTATTTAAACATCAAATAATTTTATTCGAACCATGCATTATTTTCTTTCACTTTTCTCTTTTCAAAAAGCAAATAGTTCATTCCAACCGCTTATTTTCTTTTAAATTGCTACTTGTTCATAATTGGTGGGTGCATAACACTCCCAAGTAGAATTAAAGTTGAGAAAACTAGGGTTGGTTGTTCTCTTCTAGCATAACATAGACAGCACTATAATAATAAAATTATTAAAATCTCAAAATGTACGAGAAGACACTTAAAAGTCTACGAAATCTAGGTTTATAAAAGAACAGATAAATGTAAAACGGTGAGAGAATAACACATAATATACTGAATAAAACACTAATTTTAATATTTAAATTGGTAATTTATTATTATTAGGAATTTAATATTTGTAAAAAATATATAACAATATTTGAATCAATAATCGAACAAGTATTGGTCAAATAATATTATAGAAATATAATATCATAATTTAATAATACTAAAAACTTAGAAGAATATAGTTATAACTTTCTAATATTTAAATATAAAAATAAAATATATCCTTATATTTAGGTCTAACTTCATCAAATGCAAAATACTATTATTGACCATAATTTTAAATTTAGATAAAAAAAACAAAATAACATTATATTTAGATTTTTTTTAGTATTTTTTTTATGATAAAATTTCATTGAATCGTGGTGAATAAACTTTACATTGATTTTTTTTTTTCAGATTTAACCAGTTTACCAGTTTTCAGTAACTTAAAATTGATTCATTTGATTTGAATGCACTAGACACTTTGATAGTTATATATAACAACTTTTTCCAGAAAAATCAATATTAATATTGAAAGCAATAAGTTAATTTCATCTCAATGATAATTAAGAGTGAAATACCATGTTCTCATTATTTCATTTGAAATCATGTGATCATGCATATAGTAAACATATGATGCAAAATTATCATCAAAAGAATCATACGTACCTAGTGGAAAAATAGCTTTCTATGACGGGTTTTTATCACGGTCGTAATCCACCCGTCATAGTATGTGGTGCGATGACAATTTTGTAATAAAATCATAAACTTTCTATGTCGGGTAAGTTTTAACCGACATAGTAAGTGGAAAGGTCACTTTCTACGTCGGTTAAAATTTACCCGACATAGAAAGTTAACTTTCTATGTCGGGTAACATTTACCCGACGTAGAAAATGAACTTTCTATGTCGGGTAAATTTTAACCGACGTAGAAAGTGTCTTTGATGACGGGTGTTAGGGCAACCGACATAGTATCTTCTGTTTTGCCCTCCCCCGCGCTCCATTTCATTTCATCACTTCCCCCACTCCATTTCATTTCATCACTTCCCCCCATAGCAGAGCTTCCCGTACGTTTCTCCCTACGCTCCATTTCCTTTCATCAGCTCACCCATACCGAGCTCCCCGTTCGCTTGTATACGTTTCTCCGCACCCACATTTGCTCGTCACGCCACCTGCCAACGCTTCGTGCCGCCTGTCGCTACCGGTGCCCGTCGCCTTGGATACGTTTCTCCCCACCCAGCCTCCGCACGTCATGCCACTTGCCACCTCTGTAGGTCTTCAAGAGGTAAGTTTTCGTGCTTGCTTTAGCCAATGTAGGTTTACAGTATTGAATCTAGTAAGTAATAATGCTGTCAAGAGAGGGAAACATCACGGGTGCTTTTAGCTAATTTAGAGATGTATTGTAAGTAGTTTAGTCATTTGAATGTGTTTCTGTCGGCATTCTTTCGTGATTTTGATTTTGAACATTAGATTTGTATTATAATGTAGTTATTTTGAGAGTGGAGTTGGATTTCGTGTAGGCATTATAATGTAGTTATTTCGTGTTTCGTAGCTAATTTGATTTTGAAAATTAGATTTGTAACAATGGATCGGAGTTGGATCAATTACGGACGAACAACAAATGAATATGAGAGTGGAGTAGAACAATTCCTTGAATTTGCTAAGATGAATGTTCCTGGATAATGATGGAAGATTCTATTGCCCTTGTGTTAACCGCTTGAATGAGCGAAGATTACCGATCGAAGTTATTCGGGAACATGTTCTTTGTGATGGTTTCCTAAAGAGTTACATAAAGTGGACATGGCATGGTGAATTATTAAACATGCCAAGTGTAGAAGACAAAGAAGAAGTTGATCTAGAGATGGATGATCAACTGGAGGAAATGATTTGTGAGCTTGGACAAGATGCCTTCCAACACACACATGTGTACGAGAAGTTGTCCAATGATGCAAAAGAGCCTTTGTATACAAATTGTACTAAGTTCACACGATTGTCTGCGGTACTAAAATTGTTCAATGTGAAGGCAAAGAATGGGTGGATCGATAAAAGTTTCACTGAATTGCTTGAGTTGTTGAGTGACATGCTCCTCGAAGGTAACACATTGCCAACCCGCAATTATGATGCTAAGAAGATATTGTGTCCAATGGGTATGGAGTACCAAAAAATTCATGCATGTCCGAATGATTGTGTGTTGTACAGGAAAGAATTTGAGAACTGTCACGAATGTCCACAATGCGGGAATCACGATACAAGAAGAAGGATGGTGATTCTGACAATGATGTTATGAAGGGTACCCGAGCAAAAGTGTTATGGTATCTTCCCATTGTTCCAAGGTTGAAACGATTGTTCACTAATGGAAATGATGCAAAGCTCACTAGATGACATGCAGATAGTCGTATTAAAGATGGTCGGTTGAGGCATCCTGAGATGGATTGCAATGGAAAAAATTGATTCCATCTTCCAGAATTTTGGTAATGATCCAAGAAACATTAGGTTTGGACTTGCTACGAGATGGAATGAATCCAT